AACTGGTCTCCTAGTTGTTTCCCCAAATCTGGCCAAGTTCAGACTGGCTGTTTGCCCCGATATAGGCACAAGCCAGAAACATTTCACAACCACATTAAAGGGGCTATTCACACAGGCACATCTGTCTGGCGTTCCCCAGCCATACTCAACCCGTCTCGTAATGTTTCCCTCCTGAGTTTAAAAGATACCAGGTGAAAGTGGTATCAAACCCTGGAAAGCAAGATTATCCCGTGTCCACCCCGCACCAACAAAGTGTGAACACTGAAAGCCATGTTTTTCTTGTGTGCTTATGCGTAAGCGCATAAGCACATATCTCCAGATTACCAAAAAGAAAGCCACGCCTTACAGCCAGGGCAGGCCAACAGTGTGAACACTCCCTTGTGTGTCCTCCCGGTATGCTCCCGCATCAGTCGCTGCAGTGTGAATGGGAACACCCGGAACAGTTTGTTCCGGTTCTTTTTTGCCACGACTCCCTCCTGCTTCAAACTGCCAGTCTGAACTCGGCCTCTATGTTTCAAAAGCCTGTTGTCTATACATGTCAACAGTCTCCAAACTGCTTCACTCATACCAATATGGAGTGCCTTTTTAGTGTACAATATATCCTTCTTCCAGTTAATTAGTCCAATAAAGTGAACCTATTTTTGAGTCTAACCGTAAAGTGATTTGCAGCCTAAGTAGGGGCTAGCCCATAGAAAGTTCAATAGACCTTACTTGGAGAAAGGTGAACTTTAAATAAATACAGGGTTGTGCCCTAAGCAGTTTTAGGCTGTGGTCTCACACACACTAAGTGATCCACTTTCAATGCACTTTCCAACTGGATTTTGCCAGTTCACACAGTAAAATCCAGTTGTAAAGTACACTGAAGGAAGACATATTTACACTGAAGGAAGACATATTTCCCACTTAAACATGTTGACAGAATTGTATTATGAGTTGCCTTACAAGACTATGGTCTCCCACCTCATAGTGCACATGAGAGAAATCACTTATTCAACATACTCCTCTATTCAAACTGTGCTTGCATGCGAAGACTCTATATACCATATAAACAGGAATAATATCAATACAAGTAGTCATGTGATTCTGCAGTGTACAGTTCCATAGCAGACTATACAATGTAAATTTTTAATCAACTCTGCGAAGTGATAAAAATGAGCACAGCACAGCTTCAGAGATGTATATGGCTATGTTCAAACACAGTTATGTTTCAGCCCAGAAAAATATATCTGTGAGATTATCTCTTTCCAGTGGCAATTAAGGAATGTCCCACGTTTTCTTGATTCCTCAGTCTGCAGAAATTCTAAAAAGAGAAAACTAAAATGGTTTTAATGGTTCACAGCTAATTATTTGAATCAAGACGTCTACTATTAACTGTGGATTGGACGACTGCCGAAATGACTGAAGAAAATGAGAAAATTGGCATGCCAATTCATTGATTTACCAACAAAATACAATGTTTCTACAATTATCACAAAACTTTCCAAAGAGAAAACAAAAACTGTTAAGATACCATGGCAGTTAATAAATTAAAATGCTGACAGGAAAAAAAATAAAAAGTCAAACCCCATCTTGTTTTGCATAATGATTACTAATTTTTCTGGCTCAGTACTCAATACTGCTTTAAATAAAATTCCCTGAGGTTCCGAGAAATGATGACATCTTTGGATGTGTTATTTGCATTATGTTAACGGGTAAGTGCAATCCAGAGATTGCTTATGAGCTCATTACCTGCTATCCCCACTCAAAAGAACCTGTCCATGCTTTTCAATGGAGGGACCTGATCTGTGCTTACAGTTATGTGCCTTGGAACTGGATCACTGAAGGAGATTCTGGGTGTGTGCATGCAAGAACTATGGATCCTTTTGGGTTACAAGTCATTGGCAGGGATTTAATTTTGTTTTATTTTTGTATAGCACTTAATGTATTTTATGCAATCTTTGTAACAATCCAAGTTTGTTTGGAGCTCTTAAATGGGTCTGATTATGTGTTTCTCGTCCTTTGTCTCTGCAGAACTCCTAGCAGACCATTAGCAAGCCAACTGCATGGTTTTACATGAACACAAGAACACACACACACACACAAAACACTGTACTGGATCCAGACTGAATTTTCTACTAACAGATGGGGAGGGTTATTTCCAACCAATTTGTCCTTCCTGTTGCAGACCTCTAATTTGCCTTTCATGGTGTTCCTGAGGGCCCCTGTCCCCCAGGAGCAGTATTTTAGGGAGATCAGTGGGCTACAGAGGGACTGAGGAGAGGAAAGAACATTCTGTTCCACTAACAGATGTGAGCAGAAAATTTAGTCTAGACCCAGCCCATTGTCTCTAACACTGGGTCATATTTAACTTATTGCACACATTGAATGAATGCAAAATGATCCTCATTCAAGGCGGTCTATTCCAACAACACGTTTAAAATACTTCCATTCTATACATTTACTCTGGCTGTAGCACTGAGATATTTATGGCTCAGAATGGAATTGTGTGTATGCATATTTGTCATGTTCCTCTTAATAGTTCAAAAGAAATAAATTTCTAGGAACTCATACAGTTGTTCACTGAATGTCTTTGGTCTGTTCTCTTGAACCTGGGATGAGAGTGAACAACTCATGGACTATATCTGGCAATCAAACTAACAATCAGTACGAAGCCTCTTGGCTGGCTAGGTGTGGTATAAAGCCTTCTTCCATTATCTGGCCAACAGACTAGTACCATCTGCACAGACTCCAGCTCCCTTGTCACTAACCTCAGGGACCTTGAACTGGAATACATATTGGCTAGGTCTCAATTTGAGTTCAGCTGATTCACAACCCAGTAGGGAATTGTTAGAACCGCTAAATCTGTGTCTTTCCCTTCTTCATTTTTTTTTGTCCCATGACAGGCTATTTGGATTACCCCCTTTTTATCCTGTCCATGCTCCAAGGGACTTTGGGAAGGGGTTATATAAAGTTTCATTCCCTATTTTATCTCCACAACAACTTCATGAAGCGAGTTAGGCTGAGAGTGATTGGCCTAAGGTCACCGAGTGAACTTTGTGACTGAGCACGGATTTCAATCCTGGTTACTTGGTTCACTATCCAGTACTGTAGCCACTATACAGCACTTCTCCTCTGAAACTGAATAACTTCTGTAGCAGCCCCACACCATTGCATATTCTCCACCAAATGATTCTTTAGGAGACTCTTTAGGATAATTTTTTTTATTAGAAAGGGATTCTACTTAAAGGGTGAGAAAGAAGTCCTGAGAGTGAGGAACCATGTAACATTTCCTTGGAGGAAGGAGAGCTTATTTTGTTTGCTTAGACTATTATGAAAAGAAAGACTGAATGACTTCTGTGTCTGCCTTCAGCAGTTCATGAGTCACTATGGCTAAGACCCAACATGATACAGTATCTAGAATGATGAATGAATTTTGATATGGGAACCTAAGTTCAAATTCATGTTCAAATACGAAGGCTTGTTGGCTGGCCTTGGGCAAGTCAGAATTTCTTGAAAGAATCTCCCTGAGAGTGAGAGTAAATTGCAGCTCCAAGAACCCCTAAGGAAGGGTGGGACATACAGGCGAAATGTTATCTAAAAACACACAGGGGACACAGCAAAGTTAGACAGCCATAAAGAAGCACCGTGATAGAACAAAACACACTTCTAGTAATATGTACTTGTTATCTTCATATATTGATTTACTTGCAATAAAGACTCTAGTATATCTTATACACATACAAAAACCTAAAGTACATTGTATCTACTAATAGAAAAGTCCACAGCTACAAATACCTATTCCAACGCTGTAGACTATCTTGCTCCTGATAAAGGGCTGATGAAAGTTGCAGCAGTCATAAATGATGAAAGATGCAGCAGGCTGTTATATTCTCCACAAACAGAAATTCAGCAGGCATCAAAGCAGGCATGAGAAATGCAGCAGGCAGTTGTATTTTCCACACAAAGTGTTTCAGCAAGTGTTTCTCCAGAACCAGAGAAGCCTTCTTTAGAATGGTTGACTTATGCACAGTAAAATTGAGAGCTTTGGTTCCAGGAAAATATGTCTGCCTGAAGAAGAATTTGTCGAAACACGCAATTTTTGCCTAGGAGGCGTGTTGCTTGCTTTGATGCTTGCTGAAACACTTTGTGTTTTTAAATTTGATCTGGATTTTTAAATCTGGGGTGGTTCAGAGACACCGCGGAATGACTCTCTCTCACCTCACTCCTGTTTTGCTTGCAGGCAGATAGGGATGTTCTCCTTCCAGCCTGGCATGGCTCCTTCAGTGCTGTGTCTGCTGCAGCAGAATGACCAGCAGTGAGGGGCACATTGCAGTCCACAGTGGCAGCAGTGCCTCCTATTCCCCAAGCCTCACACACGCCTGTGGAAAGTCGGTGGCAGCTCTTCAGGGCAGCTGCAGTGGGAAAGGGGCTGAGGTGTTGGCAGTGCTGGTGTTGCTGCTGCTGCCTCTCTCTGCCACCACTTTATATGGCAAACAGCCACCTACGTTTGGTGAAGGGATGGGTGAGGTGGCAACTCTGGAAGGAGGAGGGAGCTCTCTCTGGTTCAGCTGGAGACAGATGCATGCTGAGAGTGGCGGGGGTGGGTGGGGGGGTGACAAAATGCACAAGTGGTGCCTAAGAAGCTTGCAGCACATAGCTATGTATGCACACATTGGTAACTTGGAAAAAAATGGCAGAAAAACAGGAAGTGAGCAATCTGCCTTCCCAAAAGGCTTCACCCCACAAGAGAGTGATCAGACATCTGCAGAAGCACTGTGAAACTGGTAGGATCCATAAATATCACACTTTTTGTGGTGTCAGGAAAGCTGGGGGTTAGCATGGGGGACTGACGACTGCAGGATGGGATAAAGAAGTTGCTGTCTGAACAAGCAATTTAAATCCATTGGAGAAAAGTAAGGACAACAGATCAAAGTGCTCCTCTGATCGCAGCCTATAATTATAATCTATGAACCCTCTCCATATCAGTACTCAGTATGGCTAAAGAATTTCTCTTTTTCCAGGTTTGGGATGAAAATCTAGCCAAGTCTGCAGAAGCATGGGCAGCAACCTGCATTTGGGACCATGGCCCTTCCTTCTTATTGAGATTCCTTGGACAAAATCTGTCTGTAAGAACTGGAAGGTAGGTAGATAATGTCATTTGATGCAGTTTCTTGTGGGCAACAAGTACTTCTGGTGCAAATGAAGACTTTTCCAACCAAAGGTATCTTTCATTTACACAATTTCTCTCTTTATACACACAATGGAATTTAAAGAAAAAAGTTTGAGTCCAGTGGCACCTTTAAGATCAACAAAGTTTTATTAAAGGTATAAGCTTACGTGTGCATGCACACTTCTTCAGATACAATGAAATGGAAGTTACCAGTCCATACATATAAGTAGAGGGTGAGCAGTAAATTAGCATACAACATAAATGAGGATGTTTAACAGATTCATTATGTATCTGAAGAAGTATGTGTGCACATAAAAGCCACTGAACTCGAGCTTTGTTCTGCTGCTTCAGACCAACACAGCTACCCACCTGGATCTGTCACAATGGAATTCGGTCACACAGCAACCAGTGAAGTATAAAAGTCTATTTGTGCGGGAGTTCTGTATATACATGGTAGGACATGTTAGGCTGTGGGTGAATGCAGTGATCTTTGATGCAGCATAGTAACTGTTCCTGTTTTGGAAAGGAGGGTTCTTGGTGTGGTCCAAGATTATATGAAGTTTAAAATAAGCAATGAGATATGTGTCTTGGATACAATCTTTGACACAAACACAATTGCTAGACAAACTTGCCTCGATCAAACTCCCTTGCCTTTATGCAAAGCAAGCCCCGTCTTGAATCAGCTCAATGTTTCGGTGCTTCGCAATACACTCTTCCACTGGTGTGGAACACTTGCCTCTGGACTACATTACATATATACAGTACTTGCACCAATCAGAGTCATTTTGCCAACTCATGGTGACATAGTTAATTAGCTGATGCAACCTAGTGCAACTTGCATCTGGTGACCCTGTCACATGACAGTCTTACCTGTCACCCAGATCAGTTTAATCTGACATGTGTGCATCATTGGCTGTCATCTTGCATACATATAATACAATATGCCAACACGCCTCCCAAGATACAGCCTATACAAATGATAGTTTACTTTTTAACACTTTAAATCTATTTACAGGTACACACTTTGTAAATAAATCAGCCAGGTTATCCTCAGAATTACAGTACTGAATGTTAATAAAATTTGTACACACAGCAACCCTTACATTCTGATACCTGATTGTGATGTGTTTACTTCTGGTTTTTACCCCTTGATTTTTAGCCAACTGAGCAGCTGCCAAGCTGTCACAAAAAACCTTGATAGGTAAATCACACTTTATGCAAAAGTCTTTTAATAATTGGTGAAACCATTCCAACTGAATAATTACATCACTTATAGCGGAGAATTCCGATTCACAGGAACTTAATGAAATATGTGCCTGTTTGATTGATTTCCATCCCACCAGGGCACCTAATACAGAAATTGTGAACCCTGTGGTCGACCTTGAATCCGGCCTTTCCCCCCAACTTGCATCACTGAAGGCTGACAGACCGTCTGTTTGTGCATCCACCTTTAGCACTAATTTTTCACTTGCTGTGCCCTTAAGGTACCGGAGCACTCTTTTTGCTGCAACCCAGTCTCTTTGATAAGGACATTGACATTGTTGACACAACCAATGCACAGCTATAGAGATATCTGGCCTTGTGCAGCATGACAAATACAGTAGAGACCCAACCAACGATTGATATAACTGTTTGTGAGGAAACATTTCTCCCTGCTCCTCTTTTAGGTAGTTTACTGTTACAGGCGTCTCAGTAACGTGAGCTTCACTCATGCCAAACCTTTCAATGAGCTGCAAGATCTTTTGCTCTTGGCAAAGAGTGTAATTACCTTGTTCATTCTTGCTTATCTGTACACCCAGATAACTCTGTATTTCGCCCAGATCCTTCATGTTAAACACTGATCTTAATGTTTCTGTAAACCAGTCCAATTGTTGTTGTGACGTGTACAATAAACAAAGGTCATCTACATAATAAAAGAGCCAGTAAAGCTGTCCTTTTAACTCTTTGCTGTATAAACATGGATCAGCTATACTCTGTTTGAAACCTTTATTTACCAGAGCATTATGAAGACATCGTCCCCATTCAAACGCGCTCTGCTTTAACCCGTAAAGAGCTTTGTTTAACCTTAGAACAGATGTATCAGACCCTGAATGAAACCCAGGTATCTGTTCCATGTAAATTTCCTCTTTCAAAGGAGCATTCAAGTACGCGGTTTCAATATCAAAGTGTCTCACTCTCATCCCCTTTGCTGCAGCCGCAGCCAGAGCAACCCTTATTGTTTCATTTCTGACCGTGCTTTGAAAAGTTTCATCATAATCTTGATATTGCCTCTGATCAAAGCCTTTACCGACCAGACGTGCTTTGTAGAGCACCTCACCATTCGGCTTGTGTTTTAACTTGTAGAGCCATCGACACCCAATTGCCTTCCGTTCCCTAGGCAACTCAGTGGGAGTAAATACCTCGTGTGCTCTGAGAGACTGATACTCAGTTTGCATTGCTGCTTCCCAAGCCTGGCGTTCGGTAGCTGCTAGAGATAACACTTCAGTGTATGTTTCAGGTACCTTTACAAATACATTATTTATACCATATCTCTGAGGTGGTATTCCCTTAGTAATTCTTGTAGACACTCTGGGTATTTGTGGAGAACCTGAACCAGTATCAGAGACTTGCGGTGCTGCTTCGGCACCTTCCTGCTTCACCTCTGTTCCCCCTGTACTGTCAGTAATTGGTAACATGATCTGCTGGGGAGTTTCATTAGCATGAATGTGTGACCAGTTGGCATTCTCGCAAAAATTTGCAGACCTGCTGAATACCAACATGTTGTGAGCGTTCACAAAACGATATGCTTTCATTCCAGTTTGATAACCAATGAAAGTTAATTTTTGTGCCCTGGGACCTCCCTTTCTTCTTTGCTTTAAAGGTATGTTCACCCATGCCTTTGACCCAAAAATTCTTAGGTGCTTCAAAGAAGGATTTTTACCATAGAGAGCCCTATAGGGAATGTCTTCAATTGTTCTACACCAAACTCTGTTGACATTGTAGGTGGCACATCTCAAGCACTCTGCCCAAAAGGACTTTGGTAAACCAGAATCTAATAACATAGAGTGCATCACCGTTTGTATAATTCCTGCTCGTCTTTCCACAATGCTATTTTCCTGAGGACAGGCTGTATTAGCCACTCTGTGTTCAATACCTTGTGCCTTTAACCATTTTTGCAAATCAGTAGCCATAAATTCACCTCCAAAATCAGTTTGAAGCTGCTGAATTTCTGTTCCTAACTGTTTTTGCACCTTTTTTGCCCATGTCTTAATTAATTCACATACCTCTGATTTCCTCTGCATAGGAAATGACCAACAGTACCTGCTGTGGTCGTCAACAATCAAAAGCCCATATCGTTTACCCGATAAGCTATTTTGATAGGGTCCTATTACGTCGGCGTGTACTAGGGCCAATACTTTATCTGTGGACCTTTGACTAGCCTTAGCTACTGGGTGTGTGCGTGATTTACTCTGCTTGCATATATCACAGTCTAAGTACATTTGGCATTTCTTTAACCTATCATGCCCTAGACATGCAAACGTTTTCTCTAATGTTGAGAATGACATGTGCCCCAGCCTTCTATGGTACATGTGGATACATTCATCATGCAATGCTTGATTGCTAATTACAGTTTTCACTTGCCCTGGAACGTTATCAAGAATATATACACCATTCTCCACTTTGCCAGTGGCAAGGACCTTATCTGCCTTCTGTATCACACATTGCTGTTCAGTAAATGTTACCCTGAACCCAGCTTTAGTTAATTCACCGATGCTTAATAAGTTGTGTTGGAGGCTAGGAACGCATAACACATTTTCAAAAGCATGATTCAAACAATGAAAATAAATTGTTCCTTGCACATTTGCTGATGCTGGTGCACCATCAGCCAAACTCACGTGTGCTGGACTAGCTGGCTGAGAGTCAGTCAGCAAGCTTGCGTCCCTTGTGAAATTCTGGGATGCGCCAGAGTCCAGGACCCATTTGTCCCTTTCAGAAGACCCTGACGCTGTCACCAATGTTGCTTGATGGGTGGCCACATGTTGAGGCTTGACACCGCCTCCGTCCTTGAGAACGTTGGTGGCCCTTTCTTTCTTCCGCGGGCAAAATCTTTTGATGTGGCCGGTTTCATTGCACAAAAAACATCTGCGTGCCTTCACGTGTAGAAGCGAAGATGCTTTCTCATCCTGTCGCTGACTCGTATGCTGCAGGCTGGCTAAACACCTGCTTTGGTTGGCTTGCTTCCCAGAATAGCTGGCTTGCTTCCCGGAGTAGCTGGCTGCCGTCCCGGACCTGCTGGCGTTGTTCCCAGGATGGCCGTTTGCCAACTCCCTCTGCCGGCCCCTCTGTTCGGCTTGAAGCAATCTTCCGGTCACATAATCAATTGAAAGATCCTCGGGCTTTACCCCTTCTAGAGCTGCCAGGGTCGGCTCAAAGGATTCAGGCAAAGAGCACAAAATTGTGTAGACCTGGTCTTCTTGAGAGATTTGTTTGCCCCTCTCAGTAAGAAGTTGAAAGCACTCATTTAAAGAGTCTAAGTGCCCTCTTAAATCATCTCCTTCTGCCATAACAGTCCTGTACAATCTCCTCAGGAGGGTAATTATTGAGCCTGAGGTTTTTTGTACATAAATATTTGCCAGAGCGTCCCATGCCTGCTTTGCCGAGGTCTTCCCAAATAGATAAACCAGCTGTGAGTCCGATACACTCAAGACTATAAAAGCCAGTGCCTTGTCTATTTGTATTTTCTCCTCTGGCGTGGGAGCCGCTGGGGGGGCTGAAACAAATGTCCACAGCCCTTCCTTTACAAGGAAGTGCTGCATCTTCATAGCCCACACTGTATAATTGGAGTAACTCAGCTTTTCAACAAACACGGCTGTTGGAGCCAAAGCCATGCTGATAAGCTCACCGGTTCCACTTGGTATCTGCTGTTGGACGGCGTCCTCTGTCTCTCCCGCCTCCTCCGAGCCGGACTGGGACGAGCTGTCGTCCGTGGACTGTGTTACTGCCTGGAAGACGTCCTCTTCCTCCTCCGAAGACATGCACGCTGTAGCTCACCAATTTGGACCTGGCAAACTTCCTCAGCTCAGTGCAGCCTTCTCCAACTGTACTCCAGCTCAGTAGCGCACCTCTGGGCCCATAACCCTGACGGCATGCGCAGAACGTCTGAATAATAATAATATCAGGATGCTGTATCTGAGCTATGTACAGTGGCTTTTATTTACAGTTATTTACACAGTCCTTTCCACCATGCGGTATCCCAGGTTCATAGAACTGACCGACAAGGTGCTTCGCAATACACTCTTCCACTGGTGTGGAACACTTGCCTCTGGACTACATTACATATATACAGTACTTGCACCAATCAGAGTCATTTTGCCAACTCATGGTGACATAGTTAATTAGCTGATGCAACCTAGTGCAACTTGCATCTGGTGACCCTGTCACATGACAGTCTTACCTGTCACCCAGATCAGTTTAATCTGACATGTGTGCATCATTGGCTGTCATCTTGCATACATATAATACAATATGCCAACAGAAACTGCACAGTAGCCACTAGTGGTGCATGGTAAATAAGTAACAAAAAAGTTGTAGCTTGCAACTGCTTTTCCCCAGTCAGCAAACTAAATTTGCCAGAGAAGAGGCACATGTTCCCTGATCAGGTCATTACACTGATCTCTCCCTTATTATAAAAGAGTTTTGGGTGCCAGAATTCTAAAATTGGCCCCTTTAGTGTTAGGCCGAAAAAACTGCCACTCGGAAGACACTGGCTGGGTTCATTGGCTGCTTTGTGCAGTCCCGGCCAGCGTTCCAAGGTCATTTACATATGGAAGCTGATTGGACTACACTCCATTCCACACCTCAAACTCACCCCCCCCGCAAGGCAGTTGGAATTTTCAGTTGGGAGAGGAGAATGATGTCAGCTGCTCCCTAGGCAGAGGCTGTGTGTGTGTGTGTGGGGGGGGGTTGTAAAGACAGACAGGCAGATAAACGTTGGCTGATGGTTGCCAACTCCAGGTTCGAACTCCAGGACATAGGGTTGCCAACTCCAGGTTGGAAACTTCCAGGATATTTTAGGGATGAAGCCTGCTGAGGGTGGGATCTGAGGAGGAGGAGGAAGAGGGGGACCTCAGACAGATACAATGCCATGCTGCCCACACTCCAGACAAGCTGTTGCCAGTCTCCAGGTGACAGCTGGAGAGATCTTAAAGCTTTGGTGCTACTTCAAAGTTCCCCAGGAGCCCAAAACAGAGTAGTGTTTTGGAAAATCTTGAGGAATTGTTTGGTGCATTTACGATGGGGCTCCTGGGGAACTATTGTTGCCAATCTTGGCCCAGCAGCCATCAAACCATTCTCTTCAACCCCCTGCTGTGCAGCTGACTTTCCCCTAGGGTTGCAAATCTCCAGGTGGGACCTGGAGATCTCCCACTGCTACAATTGATCTCCAGATGACAGAGATCAGTTCCCCTAGAGAAAATGACTGCTTTAGGAGGGTAGACCCTATGACATTATACCTGCTGAGTCCTTCCGCCCCCCCCCCGCCCAATGCTGCCCTCTACAGAATCCACCCCCCAAACCTCCAGGTATTTCCCTCCTTAGAGCTGGCAACCCTACATTCCCCTCAGTGCCTGTTGGGAGTGGGTGGTGGGGGAGGGGAAGGGAGTGGGCGACCGGAGGCTTCTGCCTCCGGTCTCCGGTCCTGGAGTGGGGGGGGTGGAAACGGACCCGGCAGCCGGAGGCTTGCACCTCCAGTCGCCGGCCCTGGAGTGAGTGGGGTTGGGTGGAGGGAAACGGACCCTGCGGCCGGATGTCGGCCCTGGAGTGGGTGGGGGTGG